CATCTGTCTTCCGGGTTCCGTTCCCTGCGATGTCGGGACGTACGGGTGATGTAACTGGCGGGAATTTAAAAATATAAAAATGTGACATTCACTCAATACACTAAAATCACATAGTAAAACATTACTGTATCAAACCATTTCACATTCATATTGTCCCTAATGCTTTGTCCTGTGCCCTGCCTGCATTTTTACTGTTCTTTCTGCCTGGAAACTGAGAAACGTCCATGGTGTCCAAAAAGCGTCCCTTTAGGTCAAAAGTGGTCTTAATCTCTATTTGGAATAAGTTACTATGGTGTGACAATATTATGCTATGTGAGTTTTTTTCTTTTGGCTGGATGGTGGAGTCTATTCGGAGGGTGAAGATTTTCCCTAGCGTGGCACCAAAGAGGGTTTAGGATCCCTAAAATTCCTTAAAAGGTCTTTTACTCACCAAGTTCTGGTGAGTGTATTCAATGTTGGTGTGTGCACTGGTGGAAGGTGAAAATATTTTTTGAAGAAAAGAAGTTGGCACTTTCATTATATTATTTTTTATTTCTACAATTTAATTATGTCTTCAGCACATGGACTTTTGGGTGTTTTTGTTTATTATTAAGGGGAAACACGAATAATTTATGCACTTATTTTAATGATTTATTATATTGATTAATTATCTAAATTTGCGCTGTTTATTTATATTTATATTGTTTGTGTTTTCACGATTGGCACAGCAGCATTTTTAGAGTGTTATTTGGAAAGCTTTGGCGCAGGAATAAGTTTTTTTGTTTAAACAAAAGTGGTCTTAGACCGGCTAGAGAACAGCGATAGTAAATCAGAACCACTTCCAGAATTGAGTTATGATTTGTGGGGAAATTTGTCATCAGACACTGAAAACGATTCTGCGACTTTGCTCAGCGATGTGCGAACTTGGCGCTCTATTTCAAATTTCAGTGTTTTTGGTTTGATTATATTATTGAATTAAATGTATTATTATTATAATATTATTTTTTTATGATTATTTATTAAATTATAATTTATTATTTCGTGTTTCAAATTTTATCATACCCGGGATGTTTACTAGACTCTTGTTCGGACAGATTTCAGTGAGTTATTCCTAAAAATTACAGGCCTACAATAAAAAAACGACATATTTCCATGCAAAAAAAATGTACCGCTTTGAGCACAGAAATACTGACATAATCAGACCACTAGGGAGGTTAAGGCTCCATGTACATGGGACGTTTCTGAACAATGTAAACTGCTGGAAAACGTTGGTTAAAAAACGCCTGTTTAGCCGTGTTTGCATAATGAGTTTATGCGTGTTTGCGTTTAGAAGCATTTTTTAAAGCTAAGCACAGGAGAACCTCCCAAATGCCGAGAATGCACTGAAAAGTGGTAAATTGTTTCAGAGAAATACACACAGTAAAAACAGACACAGCAGCATGTGTTGACATTAGTTAGGTGTGAGTTGCTCATTAACATTTTCTTTTGTTTCCAAGGGTGGAAAGGTGTCTGCTGGAGTGAGTCATTAAGGTCACCTGGCACTGGTCTTCATGAGGAATTTGAGGTGTTAATGGTCATTAACATATCTTTTGTTTGCAAGGGTGAGGGAGGTCTGAGGTGTGAATTGGTCATTACAATGTGTGACAAGCTTGGTAGGAACATCCTGTGTTCAGTGTTTTGTCCATCTGATCACCTTGAAAACTCTTTGCATGCATTATTCATGATGAATAAGGCTCTGGACAGCATTGGGAACTGGAAGAGTTAAAAAAAAAAAAAAAAAAAAAAAAATGCAACCGCAAACCCTTATAAACGCGATTTGCCACGTTTAGACACGTTTACAAGCATTTTGCTTTTAAAATGCTGATAACATCGACGTCTGAATGCAAGTTTGTTGCGTTAAAAAACAACGGTAAACTCAACTGCCTGTAAATGACTGGAAACGAAGATGTGTACGTGGACACATAGAAAAACATTAGGGTGAGTTCAGGGGCTGCTGAAAAAAACTGCTGAAAAGCTCCTAAAATGTGAGTTTAGCAGCTGCAGTGTACATGAGCCCTTACTCTTATAACCCTAACTAAAATCTAGTGGAACCAATTGCCTTCAGAAGTTATCTAATTGGTAAATAGAGTCAACCTGTGTGTAATTTAATCTCCATATAAATACAGCTGTTCTGTGAAGCCCTCGGGGGTTTGTTAGAAAATGTTGGTGAACAAACCGCATCATGAAAGCCAAGTTACACACCAGACAGATCAGGAATAAAGTTGTGGAGAAGTTTAAATTTAAAGCAGGGTTAGGTTATAAAACTATCCCAAGCATTGAACATCTGACGGGGCACTGTTCAATCCATAAGTGGAAAATGGAAAGAGTATGGCACAACTGCAAACCTACCGAGAGATGGCCGTCCACCTAAACTGACAGGCCGGGCAAGGAGAGCATTAATCAGAGAAGCAGCCAAGAGGCCCATGGTAACTCTGGAGAAGCTGCAGAGATCCACAGCTCAGGGGAGAATCTGTCCACAGGACAACTATTAGTCGTGCACTCCACAAATCTGGCCTTTATGGAAGAGTGACAAGAAGAAACCCATTGTTGAAAGCCATAAGAAGTCCCATTTGCAGTTTGTGTGAAGCCATGTGGGGGACACCGCAAACGTGGAAGAAGGTGCTCTGGTCAGATGAGACCAAAATTGAACTTTTTGGCCTAAAATAAAAATGCTATGTGTGGCGGACAGCTAACACTGCACATCACCCTGAGCACACCATCCCCACCGTGAAACGTGGTGGTGGCAGCATCATGTTGTGGGGATGCTTTTCTTCAGCAGGGACAGGGAAGCTGGTCAGAGTTGATGGAAAGATGGAGCAAAATGCAGAGCAATCTTAGAAGAAAACCTGTTAGTCTGCAAAAGACTTGACACTGGGGTGGACCCTAAACATACAGCCAGAGCTACAATGGAATAGTTTAGATAAAAGCATATTCATGTTTTAGAATGGCTCAGTCAAAGTCTAGACCTAAATCCAATGGAGAATCTGTGGCAAGAGTTGAAAATTGTTGCTCACAGATGCTCTCCATCCAATCTGACAGAGCTTGAGATATTTTGCAAAGAAGAATGGGAAAAAAAATGTCACTCTCTAGATGTGCAAAGCTGGTAGAGACATCTCCAAAAAGACTTGCAGCTGTAATTGCAGTTAAAGAGGCGGTTCTACAAAGTATTGACTCGGGGGCTGACTACAAATGCATTGGTATTTTTGATATTTTTGTAAAAAATGTTGAAAACCTTTTATCATTTTCCTTCCACTTCACAATTATGTGCCACTTTGTGTTGATCTGTGACATAAAATGCCACTAAAATACATTTACGTTTTTGGTTGTAACATGACAAAATGGAAAATTTCAAGGGGTATGAATACTTTCAAGACACTGTATATTTAAGGGTACTCAGTCTCTTTTACAATTGTTAGAATTTGTTGCAATTGTGTGACAGAGATTCAAAGAGTTACTTTTTCTAATGGGTACCTTGAACTTGAGGCTACAGTTGGGAAACCAGTTTTTTAGTATAAATTATTGTCATATCTGAAGATGAGCTATCTGCTTGTCCTAGCTGAACTGAACCAAGATTTCTGGGGAGGTGTTCAATTTTAAATGTCTGTTTCATTAACATTAATGTAACCAATCTGTAGCAGGAGAGAAACCCAGATTGTGTGCTATATGTCCACATCCCAGCAAATCTTGTACACCTATGAGCAGAATATGTATTTGCCAACTTTGTGTTGATATATAGAAGAGAAACTGAGTACCGTAAAACAACTTTATGTACCACTGAAAATCTATTACACATTAAAAATGACTGTCTACAGAGGGGTTCACAACATGCAAAGATTCTGATTTACAGTTCACATGTGGACTCGACATGTTTTGGTAATCCACCTTCAGGAGAACATGTGACAGAATCAGTACACTGGAACCCACTCCTAATCTTTAATGGAGTAGTATCAAGCAGTTGGGTAGACTGGAATTCATAGCATGTGCTATGTTGCCCATTGAGGTGAAACCGCGTAGACCAAGGTGAAGCCACTGTCTCTTGGGTGGGAAATTCAGGTACATTCAGTAAACAGCCAATTGTCTTGTATACATAATTTTAAAATAGGAAGTACCAGCTTCCCAATGGGGAACCATCCAGACGCAGTTATTATTATTATTATTATTATTATTATTATACAGTATTTATAAAGCGCCAATAGTTCGCTCAGCGCTGTACATTATAAAAGTGTAAGTAAGTCACCATAAGGACAGCATGGTAGTCAAGGTAATCAAGGCGCATATATTCCAAAAAGTGGACTCTTGATCAGTATCTTAGCAACAAACTCAGTTCACATCAATCCAGCCTGTGAACTGGCAGGACTTAACAGGCTGGATTGATGTGAACTGAGTTTGTTCTAAGATACTTATCAAGAGCCCCCTTTTTGGAATGTATGTACCTTGACTACCAAGCTGTCTTTATGGTGACTTGCTTACATTGGGTCTTGTTGGGACATGTCGTGAACCCCTATGTGAAGAGTAATTTTTTTTTTAATGTTGTGTAATAGATTTTTTAATTTATTTTTACATAATAAACTTTTTATGGTGCACACTATATGTCCATGACTACAGATTTTGTTCGTAGTTGTGCATTAATGTAAGCAAGTCTAACAAATGCAGTCTTTTGAGGTACCTTGGCAGGCAAGAGTGGTAAATTTTAGAATAAAGCGCTTTAGGGTTGTGCTTGTGTCTACACATTAAAGGGAGATAAACTGATGTAGAAAATTGAACCTAGCCACTGTGCTATTTGTCCACCCCTCTGCAAGTGTATTGTCGGTGCAGAGAATGGCTGGTGTTCAGGTCTAACCTGGTGCATGCAGAATAAATGGATCCTTTTTTCACATTTCCTTACTGTATCTAGACTTAACAGAATATTATTATTTTAATCCTTTAGGCATATTCTAACTTGTTTTTTTTTTTTTTTTTTTTGTTTTTGTTTTGTTTTTTTCCCCCTAACAGCTCCAAAATTTGGGTATTAACCCAGCTAACATTGGCTTTAGTACCCTTACCATGGAGTCTGACAAGTTCATCTGCATCAGAGAAAAGGTTGGAGAACAAGCCCAGGTGGTAATCATTGACATGAATGATCCAAGCAATCCTATTCGCAGACCTATTTCAGCAGACAATGCGATCATGAATCCAGCCAGCAAAGTCATAGCTTTGAAAGGTATTTACCCTTTTTTGTGTTCTGCAATGTATGTACTACAAGAAATTCTAACCCTGCCTTTTGATGATGTAGCTAAAATGTCTTAGACTTGTATATATGGGACTTCCCTACTCTTTAAACATATTGCAGATTTAGAAGTATTTTAAAATAATTTCTAATATCCTGTACATTCTCATAAGTTTAGAGAGAAATCCGTTTTCACAATACAAGCCTCTGCTTTTGAGGCTTCCTGTATAAACCCAAGTCTTCTGCAGCTTTCTGTCTGCACAAGGACAGGATTATTAGACTACATACAGAAGGTCCACCTGGCTTGAGTTTTGCTTTAATATGTACTTGTTACTATAGCCATGAATGAAACGGGAGGATTTGCTGTGCATAGAAATAAAAGTATAAACATGCATGCAAAGTTATAACTGTACCTTTTTGCAGCAATTAGGTTTTTGCATGTAAATGCTAATACTGATTGGCAACTATGCTTTTATAGTGTTTTTTTTTTTTTTTAGTAGCCAAGGTGGACTATACAATTTTTTTAGATTAACCATGTTCATTTTTAGTTAAATTTAGGCATGAAGTCATAGCCATCGGGCCCATTTGCACTACAGCACTGCAATACACACGTTTTCTTGTGTTGTGGTACACTATGATTTTTCATTGGGATGCAGCACATGAAAAAATAGTGCAGTGTGCATTTTTTTTTTTATACCATGCAGCAGGTAACACTACAAGTGTGCATTGTGGAGGTGTTGGGGTGACATTCAAAATGGCACCACATTGCACCAATGCATGTTGCTGCAATAGGATGGTGTGAATGGGCTCTTAAAGGGGCTGTGTCTTGAGTCAAAAGACATGGTTGATTAGGTTCTAATGGAAGCAGGCATTTCCTGGCTTGTGTCTGCTAGTAGTGTTAGTAGTCATTGTAAATGCATTTGCTGTGTCACTGTCCTGGTACTAGTATGTACATGTTTTTGAAACTATGCCATTTTTTGACTGAAATACAGGACAACGTAGGACAAAAAAAACACATTTTTCAGAGCGCCACAGCATTGCATGAATGTGAAAATGCGTTCCCTTTTAAAAGCAATGCTTTCTGCAATGTAGGTAACCCAACCAGAGTGAATTAACCCTTAATGTTTGACAAAATGTGAGCACAGATGTTTTATAATGGGATAATTTAGGATAACATTTTATGTATATGCCTACAGAGTACTTGTCAGCATTATGCTTTAAAACTGCTGGTGCTCGTGTTTTTTCAGTGTTATTCTTTAACTTGCAGTGATAAATTTTGACCTTTTAATGTTGCATTACTCTTTCTTGTCACTTTCTTAATGCTTCTTGCATGTATGCAGATGGTGAGTTATTTTAGTTAGATTGTTCTAGTTATTGTACTGCATATATAAAAAGCTTAACAAAAGTGTTTTCAGTATATTAATTAATAAAAGTGTAATTTTAAAGGGCTTTTCTACTTTCACAATTGTGGAGTGCCTAATAAGTAATGGCCATTAGTATGTTGTCGGGGAAGATGTTCGGGGGAGAGAATCATTGCTCTTTCACTGTGAGCTGTGGTAGAGCTACTATTGGATATAAAGGATAGGCACATGAAGGTGCCTTCACATACATGCAGCAACTTCCATTGACTCCTCATGCTGCAATGGTCAGTGTTTAGTGAGTCCACTGGGCCAGTGCATTTCTTTTGGCAACCTATCACCAAATAGGACTGCCTTGTTGGTCATCAGTATTCTTTGGGATGGGGCAAGCATGCTTAGTCACTGCCAGGAAGTCCCAAAGTATGATCTGACAAGAGCAGCCTGGAATTTGGGCATAGAGGGGACAGAGCAGATTGCTGCAAGAGTGCAGTAACCACTGTGGCTGCACTTTTATAGCCACTAGCAGCTTTATGTATTTTGTAAAGTAACAAACACCGCGTGGTACACAGTGAAAAGCTGCTTTGACTGGTTATAAACAGGCACAATTTGAATTTAAAAACACAGTCACTGATTTGGGAGAGGATTGTGCTTTATAAAAGTTGGCAAAACAAGATTCTTTTTTGTTTTTTTTTACAATTTTTAGATGGTCATTACAATTTAAAACCAGACTTGGTAAACTTGTCTTTTCCCTTCATAAATAAAAACACAATTAGAAGCACTTCAGCTTTTTATTTGCTGTACAATTACTGTCCAATGTCTAACTCTTAATGTGTCCCTTTTAGTGTGCTTCACATAGTTTTTCTTCCCTGATTTACATATTGTTTGAAATATGGTCATGAATATGTTTAAATCAATCTTTCCATTTGCTTTTACCTAGTCGGTGATATGAATGCTTGACTTTTGTCAGGGTGTTGAGTAAAACTTGAGACTTATCCATTTAGTACCCTTTTCGTCTTTATAATGCTAGAATGACCTAACCATTACAGTTTATCCTTTTGCATGCTAACCTCAAAATACTGCTTTGCTTGATCACTTAGACTGAAGGTGTAAATGACAACAACATACTTTGTTTTAGAAATACATTTCATATAGTTTAGGTAATTTTCCACTTTTAAAATAAAAAGTGGAAAAACTTATACTGATCAAGTAATGTCAGTGGTAGATGTCTGCTCACATTAAACCCCCACCAGTTAGGTGTCTTCAGGCCACCACTGCACTCAGAAATTGACTTTCCTATGTTTTTCAAATTCTGCAGCCCAAGGCAGGGTCCGGCCAGCATGATTGTGTGGGCAGACCCCTGACAATAACATATATTTATTTTTTTTTTCATGCAATGAAAGGGAGTTCCATTTTCTTGCTGGGCACTGGAAATACATTAAAAATATCTTTCAAGCATAGTTTGTTTTTGGAGCCATTTCTGTCACCATAGCATTGACATGCAGTGAATGCAGCTAGGGTTTTAATAATCATCAGCACATATGGGCTTCTCTTCTGCATCCTGAATGTTTAATGAGCTTTTGCAATTCAGGACTCATGAACAGGGTTTTAAGACAAAAGTTGACAAATGCCTAGATCTTCTGACCTTTTGAGTTACCTGTTTTTAGGGCCTGTTTTAACAGAGGAAATACATTTATCTACAGCAGCTTTACATTTTAGAAATCTGTAATTTGTTTTAGTTGTGAGCAAGCGATCTGCCGGCTGCCTGTGGACCTTACACTCACCAGTAAAATGCTAAGTAGACCAATGCTGCCAGTCGCTTTCAGTCAATCTGTTGAGAGGATTATCACATTAAATGTATGTTGTGAGGACGTAAAGAGATTAAGGGTCATTATTAAAACACTAGCTCTCTTGGCAGCTAAACTCTGAAAGTAGACTTTATAACCTTTCCTGCAGGTTGGTTTAATCCTTTAAATGAAATGTTAGAGTTGGTTAAAATGCTGTCTTCTGTGCTGGTGAAACCGCAAATTTAATAAAAATCAAGTGAATTAAAGCCTAATTATTTCCTTATGTAGTTTGATAAATTCATATACAGCTTCAGAGTGAGGCAGCCAGTTAGCATTATATAGCCAACTCTTCATATTTTTTTCTTCTGTGTTTGACAATCTACACTGACAGTGACTGGCTCCGTAAACCTTCCCTAGATTAAAGAGAAGCTGTAAGGAAGAAAACAAAAGGAAGTTGCAAAACGGATTTGTTTTTCAAACATACAGGCTCTAAACATTGGGATAAGAATGATGGCCCTGAGCCTTTACCATTTAAAAAGAAGGCCTCACTAGCAGATCCTTGTTTTAAAAAGCCTAACTCCTGAAATCTAACTGGCTCATATGCAGTAGCTAGCCTGCTGTGTTTTCAGTATAAATATTAGTTTTTAAAGAGCCTGGATGTTGTAGATTTTACCAAATCACCCTCTCTTTCCAGTGTGGGAAAGTGGTAGTTCCTTTTCATTAGCAAAGTTATGGATGTTAGATGTTGGTTTTATGTGAACTAAATCAGGGCTCAGATTCAAATTGGTTGTAGCATACAGTGTTCCTACCCCACCACTCATTTAAGTCCATATTCATTGAATGCTGACCTATTTAGTCTAATCCTTAAGATTTTCTTGTGGATCCTCTGTGTTGGCATTTGTTTTGTTTTGTTCTGACAAGGTGATTGAAGCTTGTTTTGACATTATCATAGAAGTTTTAATTTTATTTCTATATATATCTATCTCGTATAACCTAAGAGGTCCATTCTGAATTTATCTATGTTTATAGAATAGATGTGTGCAGCTACATTACCATAAAGATCATTTATGTTACAAAGCAGCCAAATGTTGCCAGACATCACATAATGGAAGAAACATGCAGTTCTGTATCCATGATCACTTTTTGCAGTACACTTTTTGGTGTATAGTTTAAAGTGGAGTTCCGGGTGCATTAAAAAAAAAAATAATAAACTGTAGCTGCTGACTTTTAAAATACAGACACTTATCTGTCCCTTGGTCCAGCGGTATCCTCACCATGGCTGATTTCACTGGCAGTCTTCTCTCCTCGGTTCCAGAATCCTCAGTGTGGGCACCCAGCTGTGACAGCTTGCGGCTTCATAGCTGGGTGGCCACTGCACATGCATGAGTGGCGCTGTGCTTTGTGAATGGTCCCGTAGTCTTCTGAGGCCTGTCACGTGTCCCAGAAGACTACGGGAAGGGAGGGGGGAGGATAGCTTCCACTTCCGATTGCCTCAGGTAGTGGGAGTGGGTACCTGTCAAATTTGGGTCCCCCCCAGCCTTGAAGCGGAAATTCCCCTTATGGGTGGAGCTCTGCTTTAATTTTGTAGCTTGACATTCCTGAGCAGATTTTCAAAGCTTCCTCTGGCTGTGGCGGAGAGACATGACATGATCTCCACTATGGCCAATCATTAATTTTTGGTCATTCAGTGAATGCAAAGCTGCCCAACTTAGTTTTGTTCCACGTGCAGAATGGGTGATGTTCGTATCCTACAGCTGGAACACAAGGCTGTATACAGTCTGTAGCTGAGTTTAGTTAAGCTAGCATACAATTAATACAGAGCGCCCTGCAGGCACACTTGTTAGTGTTGGAA